AAGTGCATAATACTAGCTTTGTGTTAATATAACATTGCTAGTGGAATGAAATTGAGTAAAAAAAGAGACATTTACCCTTTCTATCATTCAATAAATAGCTGACAAGCACTACAGTAAAACAGAGCAACTCCTATATAGTGCTCTACTTTCCTTCAAGCAGCCTATTTCAGTCAATTTTGGGGAAGTAGGAAGGATGTTAGGGTGGCGGGAGGTTTCATGTATCTAAATGGAGATACATATTTGAATAGCAGATAAATCAGAAATTTATATATGACTGAGATACTAATGTCATAAACCAATCCTAGATAGAAACGCATAAAAAATGATATTCCAGTAACAGGACTGCAATCCTTAATAGTCTCACAGGACTCTCTAGCTGACTCAGGGGCACAGATCACATCTGATTATATGTCAAATCTAAGACATTACAGTTACTCTAGGGAAAACCATATTTCCATTGACATATGCTGTAACCTCATCACTTAGCCTAGAAGCAGAATTCATCCAGACATACACGGATACATAAAACATTTTCTGAACTAGAAAATTATTGCTAGCCCTCAGTAATGGTGGGCTGAAAATACTCAGTAACTTGTTGCACTAAAATTAAAGGACAGCTTGCAATGTGGAGCCCTACTCGCACAGAATCTGGCCCTTAAGGCTTTATGGTTCCCTTCTGTTCAAAAGACATCTCTATTGCTCCCTCATTTCTTGTTTTCCAGAATAACAAAAAAATAGCAGTTTCATATTTTTTCTTTTTTTAATGATGTCTAGTAGATGTGTTGTTTTCATTTGTAGCATATGTGAGGTGGCTTTTAGAAGTAATTTATTTTTGGTGGCAAGCTGCTGATGCTTGCACCCATGTTGACTGTTAGTAATTAACACCTTCTGGTCCACTATGGACAATTTCCCACTTACTGCTTTTTAAGGTGTTAAAACTAATCTCCACCAGCTCTATGTCCCATAGCTCAGTTTCACTGATAGGAGGCTTTTCTTCCTGATAGCCAAGGCTTTTTATTTTCCTCAATTAATAATAACACACAACCCAAAGGAGTATCTGGAAGTGTCCTGACAAGATATTGTTAAGCAGAATCCTCTGCTGATGAGGGGACTGAGCTGAGATAATATGTGTTAAAACCTTCTTCTCAACTCAGAGCTGTTACCATGGACAAATAGAGGTTTTGGCTGTGAAAACAACAGGCATGAGAGGAAGTTACCTCAAGAGAAAGAACTGAAGAGGTCCTTGTTACCTATTAAATTTTTGGCATATCAGCCAGATAAAGCATAATGACATTCATTGCCTTATAATGCTGCATTAGTGACATTAATTTTATAGCATTGTTCTCATACAAAGAAAACTGCTAAAGAATTATATTCAGACCTCAACATTGGTGTATTAACGAGCATTGGACTGGAAGGTCTAGGGGACATGCATTTGCGGGTAAGTGGCTATTGGCATCTATGCATGCCTGAGTGTGTGCATTCCTAACTGTGAAGAACCTCTGCACTCACGTCTTCAGGGAAATAATATGTTCGACTTAAATTTACATATAACAACAAAAATTAAAATTGGCATTAAAATATCCAGAATAAAAGAAAGAGTTTTCTAGATACCAGATTCATCATTTAGCAGAAACGTTAGAGTTCACTGATAGAAAAGGTGGTTGGATTTTGCATCAGAAAAATCCCAGTTCGGTCAAATTCCTTCCCTTTTCATGACCTCTACCTGAGTAGTATCCACGCTTTAAGGCTCATATGAAAATCTCACAAGAACAGATCTCCTTTAACAATTCTGTCACTGCTTATTTCTGGTCATGAGAACAAAACTGCAATAATGATGAAAAGCCTTACTTGTACGGACTTCACTGCTTGGAACTGTGGAGTTCACTTTTACTGCCTTCAAACTGGTTCTCCATCTAGAGCTAAGGGACAAGCTTCTCCTTTTTTTCTTTTTTTTTTTTTTCTTTATCATGGGAATGAAGCTTAAAAGTACTCGGAGATTCTCACATCTGCAGGACTTGTGCATCTCCTACACTGCCTGATGACATGTGGATTCATTGCAAGGTGGTAGTCCCAATCTTTGTACCCACTAAAGGGCTGTGATAAAATTATTTTGGAAAAACCATCTTGATCTACAATATAAAAATGTAGTGGAAGCTGCTGGTGCCCACGGACTAACTTTAGCTGCTGGAAGCTGGGCATTCACTGCAGAAGGCTTTAGTCAGAAGAGCTCAGGAATCGGGAATCAGGAGCTTTACTCATCTGCTAATGATGATTCCCAAAGACCAGTGCAAATTCTATGTTTTCAGTATCACTCAGGAAGTTTACATGGGGTGAGAAGATGAACAGCGAGAGAAGGCTAAGTCAAAGGGGATCCACAGTAAATCAAAATTTAGAAGAAGCCTCTAAAGAAAGAGGAGTTCCTTACGTCCCAGGAAATTATAGTTTTCAGTCCTACAGTGAATTAAGAGATTTTTTGGCCACCTCAAGTGATGCCTCCGTAGCCAGTACATTTCTGCAAAAACCCCAGAGATTTAGAAAGCAAGGAAAGAAAAAGACAAAGGGATGCAGTTATTTTTGACTACCAGCCAACTTATGATGTTTAGATTTCTGAAGGAGGAAGAGGATAATTTAAAGAATCTTAAATCTTGCATACAGAGTAGAAGAACCGCACTTGAAAAAAAAGCCTTCTGGTGTTCTCAGTACTCAGAACAGAATCATCCCATATAAAATTAATATCATTATTATGTGATTTCCATCTGTTAACTAAGCCAAACGATTAGAGCTGCTAGAAAAACTGCCCTGGTGGAACAAACACAGATAATAAATCTGAATAAATACGCAAGCAAAAAGACAGCGTCAGGCTCAATCACTTGGCAATATCAAATGCTGAGTAAATGAGTTGGCTGCATAGTGCTATACCATCCAGCA